TAGAGGTATTAATAGTAGTAGTATTAGTATTGAAACCATTGTATGAATTTTCATTGAATGGTCCCTTTCCTTATGGTTATGATCTTATATGTGTTATATAAAATGTATATAAAACGCGATTTCAATATATCTTAACTATAAACCAATGTATCGTTTTTATGAATTAGCGATTATATTGAGGCACAAGTATATTGCAATTTGGAAAAGTTTAGTTCAATCACTAGAGAGTCGGTGTAATCACTAATGTTTCCCAAAAGGATCTCCAGTTTTGCCTTTAAGTGTCAATTCGTTTAGAAGCTTATAATTAGCTGACAAACACTGTCTCCAACACTCAATATACCAAATAAATGACACTATACTACAAATATTTGCTTAAATGACACCAAAATTGTATTTTAAAACAACTTTTTATGAATTTTTAATGAATTAGTTATTCGCAACATATTTAAAGATGTTATCGTTGACTACCAACGGATATTAATACGTTTTCATATTAATGTATTTATTTTAAAAATTAAATGTCAAAATATTTACTTTAAATATGAATACCCTATTGTGTGTCAACAATAATATATTATTTTAAATATGTGTATTAATTAAACAAAATAATAATGAAAATAGTAATGAATTGAAAGCCGGGATTTGTTAAAAGGCCGCAACTAATGGCTATTATATTATACTGTAGTTCATAAAGATTATTATCGACCGGTGTATCGCTTGGAGAATAAGTCAAACATTTACATCTGATTTTGTAAGCATTGTTGACGTTAGTGACAAATGTTAGGCATTTCCTCATTGAAAGCAATGAGAAAACTGAGAATATGTTTCTTAAATCATAAATACAGTATATATTCTGCTTAAACATATTATACAAATAGACTTATAATATATATTCTGTAATATATTCAATGGTTATCAACAACATTCAATACGTGAATAAGTAAGAAATTGATGCAAACTTTTTTTTGAGAAATAATATAAAATATAAGTTTTATTTTTTAACTTAACTGCTTTTAACAAATTTCAAGTTTTTTGATGGAATATAAATAATATACAGTACTATAAACTACAATATATAACATATGAAATATACAGTTTTGTACATTCAGTAGTCTATCTTATAGTAAATAGTTATATATTCTGTTAGTGATAGAGATATACTAAAGATTGTTAGACACAACATATTGGAAATTCCTTTCCATGTTTTCTAGAGATGTGATAACTTTCTTATGTAAGACTGTAGAGCACCTGCTTTAATGTTAGAGAGAAAAAAGGATATCTATATATCACACACACAATACTCTACAACACTCACAAACAGCATAATACTGTGCTTTACTCTATATAACAGTATAATTGTGTGTTTGAAGTTTTAGTTGAGACACTTTGTGTGTATAAAAGTGAGATTTGTGTGGCTATAGGGTCTTCTAAAGAACTAACACTTGTGCTATAAATATACAGCAAAAATTAAATGATACAAAATATTAAAAAGTAAAAAAATGTTCAATATTGAGACTATAGTTTTTTTACAAAGTCTTATGAAGTGAGTGAGTGAGTGAGTGAGTGAGTGAGTGAGTGAGTGAGTGAGTGAGTGAGTGAGTGAGAGAGAGAGAGAAGAGAGAGAGAGAGAGGCAGAGATGGATAACTTTTTTAGTACTTTAAGTAAAGTCATAAGTAATGAAAAAACTTTGATTTTTGGTATCACACGGTTTATTGCAATGGTATACCTGTAAGTGTTAAGTGACTTATTGAAAGCAATAAACTTTTTTTTCAGTTGTCAAGACTTGTTAAACGAGTGAATCCAATATATTTGTGATTTCATAGGTTTGGGTGTGTTATGTGTTTGACTTAAAATCTATGAGTATATGTGTTCACTCTTATAGTACGTTATGCTATGACATGCAATTTGGTCTCCAATTTTAGGTTTCTTTACATTCGTAATCAATGCAATACATGCATTCATTTTAATCAAAATTGTCAGAAAAATCACACATAATCTGACTGTCCATTTGACTCGATAGCCCAGTTGTAGAGCATTGATCGTAATGTTTGCTTAAATACATAAATTATAAATTTATGCTAAGATTTACAGCACACACATGACATGACATGAAGAAAACAGAAATTAAACACAGAATTACACGATTCTCTACATGAGTACAGCACTACATGGAGTACATGGAGTGAGTGGAGCACCGGTATCACAGCCAATACACCAACCAATTCACTATTAATACATTGCACTGTACTATGCATTACAACTATAATCATGTCTGACTTAACACTCACGTGTTTATCATTTCGATGCACTTTTGCAATACATTAGACATACGAATCAATTATTTATTTAGAAATCCAAATGAACTGACAAAATGCCAGTTCATAATATTATTTTATATATATATTATATTACGGATTTTATTTAGTGAAATATATTACTGTATCTTATTTATTACATTTATTGCTATTATATATAATAATAATATGAATTTAATTTTTACTTTTGATATCCCGTATATTTTGTTTAAAATTTAGTAAATACTAGACAATATTTTTATGAAATTTTAAATGATTTTATTGAAAAATATTATCGTCGGTTAGAAAGAATGATTGATTTATAAAGAAATTATTTTTACTAAAAGAGGTTTTTTCTTAACACTTAATACTTGCTTTTAATTTTGATCCAATTTATATTGTTTTGGGTATAAAAAAAACAATTCAAATACAGAGCTCTCTTAATCTATTCATGTGTTAGTTGTGTAGATGAATGAAATCGTCACTAATTTAGATATATTTAAGTGAAAATTTGAAGAAACATTTAAATATATAGTAAAATCATTGTGGAGTGCATTTAAGTCACAGAATTAAAAGATTTACTTATTGTCGACAAAAATGTTGACATTTAATTACAAACAATTTTTGTTTCAAAAAATTTCAAATAAAGTGTAAGAAATTAATGCTATATAATAACATTTTAATTGTTTTTTTTATTTTCATTATATATGCTGTTCTAATAACTACAATAATAGTTTTTTGTATATTTAACTAAAAAAATAAAATGCATCAATTATTTTGAGTAATTTTACTCTTTTATATGATAATGATGTATAAAATAAATTAGCAAATTTCTAAAATTGATCATTAGTTTAATTAAATAAATAAATAAATCGATAGTTTCTGAAATTTTCAGTTTACATATTAATATATAAAAATAAAACAATATAAAAAATTGATTCAAAATTTAATTAGAGCCACATATTTTGCTTATTCATTTATGTTTTAAAAAAATATATTTTATTATATTATAATAAACACATGTACTGTATAATTGGAGAGTTGAAAACGGAATAATTTTGATATTATATTATTTAGTGTGTAATGTATAAAATTCAATACTAAAAATATTATCTAATTATCATAAAGTTGTTAAAATTAAGTCCAACAGACTTGAAATATTATAATAATTGTGTTCAACAACAACTACAATAACAACAACAAAACATACATTACAGAGGTATTGAACATTAAATTGTAATTCAAATAGAAATTGAGTCTATTTTTGTTGTTCACAACATATCTTATATTTCAAAACGTGACTATCGGTGTAACACATTATATGATTTATTTAGTTATCGTTTTGATATTTTGCTCATTTGAAAGCCATTTTAAAGATTAAATTTTATATATCAATATAACTTTCTCTTTTATTTCACTATTTTATATATTATATAATTTTTTAATATTACAAACTTATCGTGTGCTTTCATTTAACTTATATGTAAGTCAGTTATGTGTGTATATTCTTATATCATCAAAAATAATAGTTGTCTTTAAAAATCAAATAACAATTTTATTTTTATTTTATTTAATATGTAGAATGTATGCCTCTATTTATATTAATAAATATTTCCTATAAAACGATATCTTAAATCTGGGTTTCACTTTTTTGTAAATATAATTTTGGTGGCAATATATTAGTATAAAATTGCAAAATGCATTTTGTTATAATGTTCAATATATAAGCAATTTATCAAATAGTTATTGTCTGAATTGAGACATCAATTCCGTATATATTACTTAAAAAAAATATTTCCTATAACTTAAATGATAGTTAAACAAAGTTTTCTGTAGTTTTTACTTAAATACTGTATGAATATATATTGATATATATAATAGTTTAAAGATATCAATGATACTAATTGCTTATAATGTATAGGAAGGGAAAGGGAGTTGAAATAAAATTTATTTAAAGTGAATAAGAAGTCTAATAATTGGTGTAAAATGTATGTGAAAGCAGTGTTTGGTGAGAGAGTGAGGCCAAACCTTATCCTATGAATCAAATGAGTTAATATTTTTTGATGATATCCGCTCTCCAGTGTCTCCCAAATGTATGGCAATGTATGTCAAATACAATGAATTGTATACCTGAACGCTTGCGCGCCATTCATAGAGAGGTAACATATAATGAATATGAAAGGAAGTCCAAACAGGAAGGACTATAGAAATGGTGGGGTTTGTAATGCCTGTGCCCCACAACCTAAAGGAAGTTTAAACACATGAAAAGCATCAAAAAAAGAGATTTTCTCATGTGTTATACAGTCATATAATGCTAAGCAAAGCTAAATCAAATGTTATCATTTTATAAGTAATATCCATAGGTGTGTTGCTATATGTCAAGCAAATCTACATTAAAAGTTAACGTAATATACTATTGATATTACAAACTCTGGTCATATGTTTGTCAAACATATTGACAATAAAGAGGAGAAAGGGATGTAAGATTGAGAAGAGGGAGAGAGAGGGAGAGAGAGAAAGAGAGAGAGAGAGAGAGAGAGAGAGAGAGAGAGAGCTGTACATCACTTTTAAGATCACAATTGTTCCTCAATAGGGCTCTCAATGACAATCACACGAGAAAATGTGTTTTTAGATTAAAAAGCCCTCTAAACAACACATAAGTATTATAAATGGTATAATTTAAGACAACTAAGGATATGACTTACCTCTTCTTCATTATTAACTGATTCCATGGACTGATTCAGTTGTATGGTCTGAATGGACCCGTTTTCTGTTGCCATTTCTGTCATCATATTTGTTATAATTCTTCTTCTTCTTTATCTTTTTCTTTGTCAAAACAAATGGTTTATAACAATAGAGTTATTGATTTATATTTTGTCGATTTTTAGATATTGAATTTGTTTTGGAAAAACAAATTTTAGATTAAATTACTTATATGACACACAAACACTAAAAATGTTTATCAACTTATGTGATATTTTTTCGGTGTTTAACACAATTACAACAAACAGTAGTGATAAGAGAGTTATTAAATAATTTAAATGATATTAAAGTAATTAATATTATTTTATTATTAAATTAAATTTAAGGCGATCTTCACATCACAGTTTGAGAAACTTATCTTTTAATAGTTCTTAACTTGTGATGAATGACTATATATTAATTAAAATGACTTTTAATTTTTTGCAGATATTTATGACTACAATTGTCGTAATTTTGTATACCTTTGAGTACAATAAGTTATGTGTAGAGGAATACTAAAAATGTTGAGTGAAAGAGATGTTATGTCCAGAGAGTTTGAGATACAGATAGATAAAAGTGCCAAAATGTGTGTCGATATACAGTGCACTAGTGATCACCGGCTCCAAGTGTTTTCAAACTCACAACTGACAACCTTTTCCCAGTGATCTCCCTGTGCTCTCAGCTCAGTCTCTCTCATACTCTTCAATTCAACTCATGGTGTGTCAACTTTGTTAGAGTTTGCGTACACCTTTGCCAACAAAAGGTATGATTCAAAAAGGTATGGTAAAGCTATGGCTCGGTGTACAACATTTATGCCATACAACCGCACATTGAGAGCACAGGCATATAACGCCAACTTATTTATTCAATTGATATATTCTGAATCACGAATAGTTTATGTCAAACCAAACCTATCTTTCAATGATAGCTTATAACATAAAAACATAACTCATTTGTTGTATAATTCATTTTTTACTTTTAATTTAATATGAAATAACAAATTTATTCTTTATTTTGTTTAATTTTTTATTAAATAATTTTTAATTTTAAAATATCATATATTCATTCATATAAAATTTGAACACAATATTTGTATAAAAAATTGTTTTCCTAAAAAGATAGTATATATTATTGATATTTAGACGAACAGATGGTTCGTATGCTTAACTATAAGCAGATGGCTTGTCGTCGTCCAGCACAGGCATTACCACCAGTGCCAGTACCACCAGGTGAACAACACACTGCTCTCTCTCTCTCTCTCTCTCTCTTTTCTTCCTAAGAAAACCACTGGTATTAGTAGAGATAATGTCTATAAGAGACGCGCGGCACACGTCTGGCACGTGCCTCTCAGCTTCTCTATTATAATTATAGCCAACACTATATATGCTTTAACTTAACAGTTGGCCTGTCTTTGATAGCTTATAATATTTAAATACATATAGTATTTTATATACATGTATTATATTATATATATATATATTTATTCAACAAGACATTTATCTGTATTATTTGAGATATATTAGATTACACAACAGATTTCATATTTACTAATAATTTATATAACAATAAAAGATTATTTTATTGTTATATAAATATTGTCTATTTCTAAATACAGTATATATTTTGTTAGTACATTCAGAATAAAAATAATTACTAATTAAATAATTGTAATAAAACTTTACAGACAAACACAAACAGATTAAAAGGCCAAATGTCCCTCAAATAACAAATACATTAATTTTTTAAATACTTTGCTTTCTATTAAAGCAGAGAAAGACTCACATTTTATTTAAGAGTCGATTCAATCGTTAGGCATTTTATTGACTGAAAAGACAAATTTCAACAGTGGTTGCGGTCATTATAATAGTCTCTCTCTCTCTCTTCCTCTCTCTCTCTCTTCCTCTCTCTCTCTCTCTCTCTCTCTTTCTCTCTCTCTCTATCAATGTGTTCCTCTCAGACTTACCCTAACATTCCCTCCCATTATTCCCTTTTCTTTTTGCTTTTCATTGTGCTCTTTGTTTGTCAGTTTCCTCAGCTTTGAAATCATTTGTCAATTATATTATATTATCACAAAAGAAATTAAAATAATTACGTATTAAATATTTAATCATTTATATTATTTTGGATTTATTTAACAAAATTTAATATCAATAAATAATGAATGCCGGTAAATTTTGACAAAACTAAAAAATACAAATTTTAATACATTTAATAATTATTAATTATATGATTATAATTTTTATGTTTAATTATAATAATATACAGTATAATACTAATTGAATTATATTTTCATATTTAAAAAATTAGTTAATAATATTTATATAATTAAAACATTAAAAATTAAAGTGATTTTTGAATTAGCATACATAATATATACCTGTATGTATATATACAATAATATGTTTCATTATAATTATTGTGTATTTTTATAATGTTTAAGTTTATATAATACTATATATATATATATATTATAAAACAAGTTTAACCTAAAATTTGAAATAAAAAATGATAAAATGGAAAGAAATGGATCCGCAAATAAATGTGAATCACCTGAACATTACATATAAAAAAAGTATTTCACTACAACTTTAGCCACACATTTCAGAGCGGATTTCAATGTTATGTAATGTAATGTAAGTGATGTTTGGTTGGGCTTCTGGATGTAATAGCCTGTGCAGTGAGTTCTCTAATTTGATTTGATTAATGGCTTATATATTATTCAGTTTTCCACTGGCTTTAAAGTTTAATTTATATATGTTTGCTTTGCCAGCAATGGGATTAACATTTAAATATATATTTCATAATATAGACTGATGAGAAAGAGAGAGAGAGAGAGAGAGAGAGAGAGAGAGCATTTGAAAATGAGATTCAAAAGTTTGAATACTTTGGAGAACTCCGGTACAAAAAAGTAATATCATATGAGTTACGCCACTTCATTGCCACAAAACAGCTCTTATGATACAATTTTAATGTCAAACAGCGAATTGTACTCAACGTTCAAGTCATATAAGACTATAAATTGAAAATAATGTAAGAAAACGGCACAAACAACATGATAAAGGATAGGGAGATATACACAAAGTAAAGGTATTGCATTAATAAAATATGTGACTCTATATCATTATGAATCAAATGAGACTCCAATAGCACTTTCATTGCATTTCTACATTATATCACTCGCAAAGCTAACACTCCTTTATCTCAACTTATATAATATACCCATCTTTGCAGTCATTCCTTACTTTGTTTGTAACAATAAAATTTGTAATAAAAAATATTTTTATAGAAGATGTATATAAAATTGATAACTTATTTTTAAATTTAATTCAATTACCAAATTAACAATTTTATTTAATTAGATTTTTTAACAAAAATATTTTTATTTAATAATGTTATTTTATAAATATTTGATTTTTGTTAAAAAGTAAAATAAACTAATTTAAGTAAAATATAGTTATGTAACATATTGTTTACAAAGTAAAATGAATATTATAATTATTACTTTTGTAAATTTAGTTTTATATAAAAATTATTTAAAAAGTTAATTGTATATTTATAGAATATTAAATAAAAATTTATTATTATATTTAAAACCATTGATAGACTAACTAATAATAATTATTAAAATAGTTTTTTAAATAATTGTATTATTATTGACGATTACTTTGTTTACGTGAATATAAGATATACAAATTTCAATCAATTGACCTATTTTATCCAATAATGAAAAATGATTAATTAATTAATAATAACTATGATATTTTTCATAACATTTTTATTATGTTATTAAAAAAGTATTTTATAATTAATATTATATCAGATAAATACGTTTTTTATTTGTTTTAATTCAAATCAATATATTTATATAAAGTATAATATATAGCAAAAATATTGTGCTAAATAATTTTATATTTTAACACAATTATTATTAGTTTATTGCTTTTTATCTTTCTTTTTTCTTAAATCACTCACTCACTCACTCACTCATTCAAAAATTGATTCATTCAGTCAGTTATTTATTCATTTAATACCTTACAGTCTTATAGTAAATAATTTTGTATGTTTTTTAAACAAGAAAAAACGTTTTTGTATTTATGTTTAATTAAATACATTATGATATCAATAAAAAAATCTAAAAATATGTTAACAGAAAATGCATTAATAAGTTATACGACAATAAATTTAATTATATTAGTAAAAAAGTTATCAAATAAAACAATATAATAATGATAATAGGTTTATAATTTAAATTGTTATTTTTGTTAATCACTAATTAAAGTGCGTATAATCTAATGTTAATCAACTATTAGCATATTTTATAATTAATTATGTTGAATATTATTTATGTATCAATTAATTTTTATATATTTAATTGTTTATCTAGTGTTTGTTTATTACTTTTATTAATTATTAATTTAATTACAAATCTTTTTGTAAATAACTTACATTTTTAAATTAACGTATTTTAATGATTAACAATTTTATAATTTAAATAAATTAGTTAAATGAAGAATAAAACTTTTGTTATATTATTAAAATAAATAGATTTTTACTCATTAAGGTATAAAATGCAAAATTTTTCCAAAACTAGCATATATTAGAAATAATATAAAGTAGAAAAATAATATTATTTTATTTAATGTTATTTAATTATTTATTTGACTATAGTTGCATTACTATTTTTTATTAAAGTTATCAAATAAATAACATATAAATTTTATCAAATTGAATATTTTGTAACAATTTGATCAATTTATTAAAATTAATTTTTACATATAAATAATACCAATAAAAGTATCAACTCATTATAAGCTGAACTATTTTTATTAAATTAATAATGTATGTATATATAATAATACACACACACACACATATATATATATATCAGGGTTAAGCAAGGTTTTGGATTTTAGGGGGGGGGTAGACCGGGGTAAAATTTACAAAATTATCGAAAAATCTTGGGAGGGGGTAAGATTTTTATTGCATTTTTAAACGGCAATTTTTTCAAAAATCCAAAATCAAGGGAGGGGTCAAGAGAAAATTCCCTAATATTCCTTTAAATTCCCTAATATTCCTTTAAATTCCCTAATATTCCCATGTAAATTCAATAAAGTTTCCATAAGTTCCCGTTTAAATTCCCAGGAAAATAGGTAAAATTTCCAA